TCAAAACGTACAATATAAACTTGGGAAAGCACTGTATGTTCTTCCCTGTGCCTCTGTCAGCCTTCCCAAAGCAGTGTGGTGTTTCTGTTTTATTCAGTGATCAACGAAGCTGCTGTTTTGAGGAAGCACAACCTGTTTGAGGATAACCTGAATGTGCCCTGCGAGAGCGTGTCCAGCCTGACGGAGCTGAGGACCCCCGTGGGATCCGCACAGGGCACCCCCGCCAAGGCTCCCGCAGCTCCCCGAGCCGAGGGCTCGGACACCGAGAGCCACGGGGACGAAACGCTCGTCGTGACAGGGAAAATCGTCTGGGAGAAGGATGCTGAGGAGGGAAAGTCATCAGACAAAGAGGCAGGCACCTCTGCTGGTGCAGCTGGTGATCAGGCCAGCAGGAGGGAAGCAGTGGCTGTTACAGACATTGGTGACAAACAGGAGTCCCCTTCGGCTGGCCACACTAAACAAGGAGCTGCAGAGGGAAAAAGTGCATTGGAGAATGTATCAGAGTGTGTAGTGAGCACTGAGGGAGAACTCAAGGCACAGCAAAAAGCCATGGAGGAAAAAGTAGCTTCTGGTACTGACACTGCAGTAAAAAATTCTGAAGCTAGCCCTAAAAAAGAACTGAAAGTACCTGAAGGAGCCGTGGAAGAAGAGGTGACTTCAGGGAGTCAAACAGTAACAGCTGGTGTGTCTGCCAGCAGCACTGAGAAAGCAAGAACAGCACAGGAAAAAGTGTCTGAGATAAAGCTCACTTTCCCACCTGAGAGTGTAGCAGATACAGAGATTTTAGCAAGTGCAGAAAAGAAAAGTAACATAGAAAATGAAACTATGGGAAAATTATCTCAGAGTGAAAATGCAGTAGGAACAGGGTTTGAAGGGGATGGTAAAAAAGAAAGTGGTGAGAGTACTGAGACAAAGATTGTCTCCCAAGATGAAAAGACAGGGAAAGCAGAGTTTGGGGATAGTCCTAAAAAAGACAGCCAGTCAGAAGAAAAGAGTTGTAAATCCCCCGATGATGTGAATGAGATAAGGAGCTTGCTGACGCTGACAGTTGAGATCCCAGCAGATACTCCAGCTGAGAACATAAAGGAGGTCTGCGAGGGTGAGCTGCTGAAGTTGCAGGAGCACCATAATGGGATCTACGAGTTGAGCGAAGTGGCTGTGGCAGAAATTCAGGTGAGCCAGAAGATGAAGAGTGAAGATGCAGCGGAATGTGTGGAGTTCAAGGAGGAGCGACCGTCCTCAGCCAGCCTGGGGACAGATGGTACGAGGATAGAGAGCGTGCCCAGGGGGGCACAAGCACCGTGGCTGGTGGAGAGCTGGGCTCCGCCTCAGGAGGCAAAGGCAGAGGCGGAGAGCAAACCAGGTGTGCGGTATGCAGGGGCGGGAGGTGAGAGGCTGCAGCCAGAGGAACAGGCGGGAATTGCGATGTATGGGGAGGAAGGAACAGGGAACAGCCCCGCTGTCCCGGAGGACGGTGGGACACAGAGCCCCTTTCCGAGCCCTGCTGCAGATGCAGCCACGAGGGACGTGCCCATCCTGGATAGAGCCAACCCAGGACTGCTGGAGCCCGTGTGCCTGGAGCCGCAGCAGCGCCGGGAGCAGCCCAGGGCAGAGCGCCCGGCAGACACAGAGCCGGGGCGGCCACAGGGGGAGCCGGGAGATCAATCCTCCTCACACGCAGGAGTTCAAAGCACCGCAGGAAAAGCAATTCTCCCAGAAGAGCACCGAGAAGATGGTCCTGCGCAGCAAAACTCTGAGGAGTAAAGAGCAGCTTTCAGCCCAGCCCTGCAGGACCTATTCGCTCCAGTAATCCCTGTTCAGATTTGAATACTTGTTCAGGTCGGGGCTGGAGGAAATGCGCTTTGTTGTGGTGTCCCCAGCTCCTGCAGGTTTCCCACAAATCCCTTCCTGAGGGATGGGTGATGGGTTTCCTTCTGGTTAAAACCAGATTACTGCTGAGGAATCTCATCTGTCACTTCAAATCTGCTCCCTTTTAAAGCTAGAGAAAAAGTCTGGAAATGTGACCACTGAATGCTTCAAACGCCCAACTATCATCAACCTATTTTAACAACTTAGCTGTTCTTAGGGATCCTCTTGATTTTTAAATGCATGGTTTTGACAAGTACCGCTCTCATTCTGGTGGTTGGTACTCAAGGATGCTTTTAGTGTTTGCATGCAGTATACAGGAAATAAAAACATTTTTTAGTAGTAAACAGAACCAAATAACTGATTTCGTAGATTGCTGAAAAGCCACACTGAGAAAAATCTGCAAACTGATTACGTAATTATTTTCAGATTTTGGCAGATATGAAAGACAAGCAAATGTTCTGTTTTTTAATGTTTTTTTTTCTCTTATTGCTGTATTTAAAAAGGGGAAAGTATGGGAGCAGGTTTCTCAGTCCCACTCTGCACTTCGGGGTTATTTAGCCTTCCAGAGCACTTTATGGCTATTTTGTTTTGTTTTGTTTTATGGAAGGGAGAGAAGAGAATGTTTACAATAACTATAACCATTAGGCAGCATTTCTCTGGTGTAAATCCCGTCATAGAATAGATTCACTTACAACTATTTCATAGAGAATATTGAGCCCTGCCATTCCCATTCCCACTGAGTTACTCAGGTCTGTAGACCTTTTTAGGTGTGGAAATCGTGTAATAAGTGGTAACAATTGTGAAATACCAGAATCATTGCATCTAATTTCTAATGCAGATATTAACTGAAGTGACAGTCAGTCAGAGGTTGTTTTTCATGTGCTTAGACTTTGGAGAGCAGAAGCACATTACAGAAGCAATTATTAAAATGAGACAGTTGCTTTCATACAAACGATCTGTATCAAGCCGTGATCTCGGCACAGAGTTGCTTAAATGTGTTTTTTGCATCTCGGTTTGCACAGAAGAGCTTGGAGATGAAACCCAGTATTTTAGTAAATTGGCCTTTCAAATGCAAGACCTCACGTTAGAGGTCAGTTTAAGGCACTTAAGAAATTCTGGCCCGGTGTTTGGAGCCTGTTTCTGAATGTCATACAGTGCAGGACAGCAAAGATTAATTATAATTGCAGCAAGGATTGCAGGATTTATGTCCCATAAAGACACAGAAAGAAATAACAAAGTCCTGAGAGCATAATATGTGTTAGCATTTAACTTCAGCAAACTGTGCAAAGTCTTTTAATGCTATCAAAATATTCTTTATTATTAACAGAAAATTGACACTAGAGGAACAGGCAAATATTACTGTGTGAAGAAGGAACCTTGCTGAGTAACTGGATTAACTACTCTGTCACTACAGTAAAATAAATGCAGTTCCTGTTTATTCTAGAAGCTGTACCGCGGTATGGAAACGTGAAGGTCACAGACGTTTTCCTTGCAGAAGTACTTTGACTCGTTTCCTCCTTCTATTTCATGCAGAAATACTAATTTGGAAACATACAAACCACTGCCAGCATATATATATTTTTTTTACGAATCATTGGTTATTTCACTGTCAGCTGCTTCACTTTTACAAATCATTAACTATTTTAAATTGGTACTGAGTGTTAAGTGATTTCAAATTTATAAAGTGCTCTAGAGTTAGGCAGCAGCAAGCAGCCCTTTTATGCTAAAATTAAGGGACATTATGGGGTTTTAGTACTTTTTTTCTATGAAAGACAGCATGGCAGCAAAAAATACTTCAGCCTCCTGCAAAAGGAAACGAATTCATTCTAATATGAATCAGATACATCTGTACAGAGAGCATTTTGCATAAGTATTTCCATGATGGTAATTTTGGAGTTATTTCTGTGGCAGGCCTAGATCTGGCTAATATTTTCCTGTGATGTGTGTTGCATTGCTGAATGCAGATGCTCAGATGTTTTTCACCAGAGAGATGGGTAAGGATGGGGAAGATTCAGCCTGTATAATTTAAATTGCAGTTCCTCGTAGCCATGGGACTTTTTTCCTGGTTTTGGGCATTTTCTGCCCATTTGCAAATGGATAAAGTAGTGCTTTTCTAGTCTTTACCACAATTGGTTAGCAGTGACAGCTTGGTTAGAAGAGCGCAGCAATCTGTAAGGTTACATGGGACCACTGATCAGAAATGATAATGCAGCCATTCCGTTGTTTTTGTTGCTTTCTTGCAGTTTCCTTCTCAAACCGTGAACTGTAATAAATAAATCGCTTTTCACGGCCCACGGCCGAGAGTCGGGTGCCTTGAGGGGAGCGGGCTGGGATGTGGAGCTCCACGGGGCTCCCCCTGTTAACGGCCAGGACATGAAACACGTGTATTTGTATTTGCTTGGACCTTTGTACAAACGCTTGCCGCGGAAATAAAGATGCTCTTCCCTTCCATTGCTGGGAGGCTGCTTTTGTGAGGGTGTGATAACTTGGGGGATTTTATTAAAGAAACGTTCCTCAGGCAGCTGGCAGTGACGGCGGTGTTCCCAGCACGGAGAGGGAACTTTTTAAGGGAGCAGGGAGTGACAGCGTGAGGGGGAACGGCCTCACACTGAGCGTTGGATTGGGTATTCAGGAGGAAGTTCTTCGCCGCGAGGGTGGTGAGGCCCCGTTACAGGGTGCCCACAGAAGCCGTGGCTGCCCCTTCCGTGGGAGAGTGCAAGGCCAGGCTGGACGGGGCTCTGAGTACGTCCCTGCCCACCATGGGCTGCTCCGCACGGCCCCCTTCCGTCCGGAGCCGCTCCGGGCAGCGCCTGAGGCAGCACGGCGGGCGGGGCGGGGCGGGGCGCGGGGCACGCCGGGAGCTGTGTGCTGTCAGGACGCGGGGCACGCCGGGAGCTGTGGTTCCCCACCCTTTGTCCACGTCGACCCTCTCGTTACGCGGTCCCTGCCGGCTCACGTGACCCGCCCGGTGCGCTCTCCCATTGGCCCGGCGGCGCGCGCTGGAGGAGGGGCGGTGCCGGAAGCGGCGGCGGCGCGAGGCTGTTTCCTTGGCTACGCCCCCGCGGGCGCGCGCGGAGGGGCCGGGCCGGGCCCTTCCTGCCCCGGGAGCCGCGGGAGCGGCGATGGGCCCGCAGCGGGACTAGCGGGCACCCGGCCGGCCGCCATGGCCCTCAGCGCAGCTCCGGGCTGCCGCGCCGGGGAGCGGGGGCCCCGCTGGAGGAGGCCCTGGAAGCTCCTGGCCCTTGGCCTGCTCTCCGCCTCCTCCGTGCTGGCGGCCGCCCCGGGCGCCGGGGCCATGAGCAGGGAGGAGAAGCGCCGGCTGGGGTGAGCGCAGGGACGGACAGAGGGAGGGACGGACGGCGGGCCGGGGCCGGGCCGGCGTGTGCGCTGCCCGCGGGGCTGGGATGGGCTGGGATCGGTGACTGCAGTGCTTCGGGACGGCGGCCCCTGTCCGTCTGTCCGTCCGTCCGTCCGTCTGCCCCCGAACGCTCCGGGGGCCGTGCTGGGGCCGCGTGTGCCGGAGCCTGGCCGTGTCCGGGCCAGCTCCGCCGGCTGCGGGGCACACGCGGCCCCGGCTCCGCTCCGGGATCGAGCCGTGTGCTCTGGGAGCCTGGAGCTCGCCTTGGAGCTTCAGGCAGGGCTTGCTGAAAAGGGGCTGGGGGTGAAAGTGAGCAAAGGTAAGAGCAAATCCCCGCTCGGTTGGTTTAATTGTGGCCGGGAGAGTGCGGGAGTCATAAAAAAGGTAAATGTTGACGTGTGTTCTGCCCAGTTCCTGTATGTAACATAAACCGCTCCGGTCCCCGTGCACGTACGTGTAAGACGCTGATTTTTTATCGCAGTTTTTAGCTGAAGGGTAAATATTACAACGTATGTAGAAATGCATTTTCCTGCATGGAGCGGGACTTGTTAAAACAAATTTGCAATCAAGAGTATTTTGTGTTAGTATGCTTCTGGGGACAGTTTCATCGTCCTCTTCCCATCCGGTGGTCAGTTGTACAGAGCAATAATGCAAAAAGTCTGCTGGAGAAGCAGTGTGGATGCTCTCACAGTTGTTAAGGTTGGAAAAGGCCTCCAAGATCATCAAGTCCAGCTGTCATGTATAAGTTGATATTTAACTCCAGTGTTTACAGTTACTGGGATTTTCCATCATGGGTTCTCAGGAAAATTTGTGCAATCTTTTATGTTTTCTTCATGAGGCTACACAAGGAGTTGAAGTTTCATCCCCCAATTTGTTTTAAAATTTTTGCATTGCACTTAAAATATCATCTGATACCCCAGGCATGTGCAGGCCATGCCCTGCTGTGGTTTGTGTTTGCCTGTAAATGTAAGTTTTAAGCAGTTGTCTGTGTGCTGCATCACCCAGCAGCTCGGTGTGTTTATCTGGGGTTTTTTGCCTGCTGCAACCTGAGAGGCACCTGGGAAAAGCACCATCCTCTGCTCTTTTGATGCCTTAATGCACTAGAGTTAAAACTACTCCTTGAATTTCCAAGTCATTGAGCTAAATTGGATATTTACAATATAATTGTGGTGTTCCTGGCTCCTTTATGTTCTGTCTTATCAGCAGAGATTGTGAATTATGTTGATGGTAGAAATTAGCATCCTTTTTTCCTTGCAGGGCTCCTTAGTGAAACAGTTAGGAATGATCACAAGTAGTGCTGTGTCTTAAAAAACAAGGTGTTTTTTTGGGAGTTTTTATGTGTGGAAGCATTTCTGTTCTTTCAGACATATGATACAAAAAGTAAGGATTTTCTTTAGTTTTTGCTTGCCAAGAGACCCCCAAATAATTTCGTGTTAGGTGAAGAAAGAGTCTTTCCTTTCTGGAGTGGACAAGAATAGCTGAATCAAGAAAAAATATTATTCTATATTTCATTTACTTGAGTAGAGTATGTTAGTAGAGGACCTGTGCCTGACATTCAGATATTAAAGAATGATACCTGTAAGATGGTGTGTTAAAGGCCATTGGGAGACATACGCTAATGCTTTTCCTTTTTTCTTTTTTAGAAATCAAGTGCTTGAAATGTTTGATCATGCATATAGCAATTATATGGTAAGTGAAATACTTGTTTGGTGTTTTTCAGAGGAGTTGTTGCTGACCTAGGGGAGAAAACAACCTACAGTACATGACATTCTATAGAAACATCTGGGAAGGAGGGGTGAAAACAGAGCTAAAATAAATAACAGCACCTGTAAAGCCTTTAAAAAGACCACAAGTGTTACTTTCAGGAAGGTTGTGAAGGCTTTTAGAGTGGTAACTAAGAATTGCTTGTGGTAACTCTCCTAATCCATGCCTGACCTTTCCCAAACCAGTTCATCTCATGTCAGGCTATCAACAGTAAAGAATTTGGTTTGAAACTCCAGGAAAAGGAACTTTGGGAGAGCTGTCTGTAGACATTAGACTCTGGAGAACACAAATTGATCTTACTTACTTTGTAGGTAAAAATGGCATTTAATATTTCTTCAGTGGTAAGCCATGCCAGATGCAGTTTGGGTGTTGTACAGACTGTTTGCAGAAGAGAAAGGGAATCTGGTGCCATATCCCAGGGTGTGACTGTCATATGACCATGGGCCATGCTGGCTGTGGTTTCTTTTGCTCTGACTTGTGATTCCTGTGCAGGTATCCTCCTGTTCTGGATCTCTGAGCCATCCCACACACTCTGCTCTGGCTCTGTTTACAAAAGCTTAACAATAAATGGTTACTTGGAGTGCACTTCCTCAAGTAAAAATTACTTTAAAATATTCTATAAGTAATACACTTCTGAGGAGAAAGTGTGGATTTGACTAAGATAAATATAAAAGATTAATTCTTACTGGCTTCATGTGAACATTCTTGCACATTCTTTGTGGCTGTTACAGAAACCCCTCTGAAGTTGCATCAGTTCCTGCAGCACAAACTGCTGTTTCCTTGCAGCATCTTGCCACATGTCCCAGGTTCTGTGTTATGGGTTAAACTTGAATATGTAATTCAAACTTAAAATGTCAGGAGTTAAAACTTTATACAACATGGGAGAGATACAGGACTGTAGAGTGGACAGAAAGCTAAGCCAAGAGGATTTTCAAAGGGGTGCAGTTTCTCCTTTTAACTTAAGCTCTGGACTTTTGAAACCTTTAGCAGTTAAACATCAAGGCTTTTTGGTTGTAATTTTTGTAATCTGGTTCCATGAAAAACACTTGGCTTGGATTTCCTCAATGGAAAACTTATGTGTTTGGCAAAATTGGACAAAATATTACAAAGAGCTGTGCTTCTACTGTTCATTGTGTGATAAATTGGCAACTGGTAGGGGTCTTGCCACATCTGAAGCAAGAAACTTCTGTCTGAAGGAGAGAGAAAACTTCAGTTATCCTGGAGACTTTGAAGCCAAAAGGATATTTATTTGCCACGTATGCTGGAGCACTAAACAAACAGAGAAATGTGACTTGCTTGTTTAAAAAAAGATTAGAGTATCAGACTTGATTCTGACAACAGGAGAATGAAGTGTTTTTGCAGGTGTTTTTGAAACAGCCAGCTGAAAAGTTTTGATTTTCTGTTTCTATTAATACATATTTTAGACATTTGTATTTAGAAGACTGAAAATTGATGTTTGATTGCAGGGGAAATTCCCTTGCCTTTTTTTGTCTTTTTAAAGTTGTTAACAGAAGCTTAGAAAAAGCTGCTGGGTTTTTTTCAGTCCTTGAACTACATTTGTAATAATGGGGTTATTTCTCTTCTTGACTGTCAGAACATGTGAAAATGACATGTCAGTCTCTTGAGGCCAGTGACAAGTTGGGAAATAACTCAGTGCAATAGCTGCTTATTCTCTGATGTAGGCAGAGAATAAGTGAACTTTTATTTTTCAAAATGCTTCAAGTTCTTTATTTGTAAAGCTAAAAGTTTATTTTTCCAGATTTTTTATCACTTCTCTTATCCAAAATTTAAGCCAGAGATCTCAGTTTTGACATTATTTTTGTTGTGTACTTCTTTAATCTGTTTTTCTGAATACTTTGCAGAGGTATTCAGAAACATCTAAGCTGTACTAAAATGATCTAGATTCTGCCTTTTGTAGTTAAACTTGAGGAGAACAAAGACTTGAGCAAAGACCAAAACACTCAGGAGGGTGGTATACAGGGAAACAAACCATCAGTTTCAAAAGAAGTTTCTGTAAGAGCTGTTTATTTATAGAGGAATGTTTCTTTTTTATTTTTATTTCATGCTTGAATACAGATTATTTTTGTACCATATATTTGGAAAGATTTTGCATGTGTTTACTTGCAGTTTCAGTGCAGCAATTGAAGTTTTTTCTCCTGCCACATGTTAGTTCTCCACTAGAAGTCAAACTGGAGACCTCAGTACAGCAGCCAGTTTCCTGCTGAAATAAAGAGAAAAAGCTCTGTCCCAAACCACTTGTGTTAAGATTCTAAAGGAGGCAATTTCATGTTTATTTGAATTAGATATATTTAAGATTCATTGTCATTGATGTCAGTCTTATATTTGTAATATTTGTAAAAGGCTCAGTCTTGTTAAGTTTTGGTGGGGGTTTTTTTTTGTGAATGTTATCTTTTATGTCTTGTGTAATAATTCATCAATGTTTTGTTTGAACTTCTGAGTTCTCTTACCTGTCACTGATTGTCACCCTCAGCCAGGTGAGTTCATTGTGCAGAGTGCAGTGAAGGCCATCAAGGTGATGGAGAGGCTGGAGCATCTTTCCTGTAAAGATAGGCTGAGGGAGCTGGGGCTGTTCAGCCTGGAGAAGGGAAAGCTCCAGGGAATTTAACAAGGGAGAGAGCTGGGGCTGTTCAGCCTGGAGAAGGGAAAGCTCCAGGGAGTTTAACAAGGGAAGCTGTCAAGAAGACAGAGCCAGGCTGTTCTCAGGAGGGCTGAGAGGAAATGGGCATAAACTGAACCACTGCAGGTTCCCTCTGAACAGGAGGAAACACTTCTGTATGGAGTTGCCCCGGTACTGACACAGGGTGCCCAGAGAGGCCATGGACTCCCCCTTGCAGATGCTCAGGAGTTACCTGGACATGGTACAGGGCAGCTGGGTCTGGGTGATCCTTCTTGAGCAGAGGGCTTGCAAAAGATGAACTCTGGAGGTCCCTTCCCAGCTGCAGGGCTCTGTGGTGGCCCTGCAGGTTTTCTGAAGAGCAGCACGATGAAGGTTCCTTTTGCAGGCTCCCAAGGGTGGCAGTGAGCACTGTAACTGATTCCCCTGTTTTGTTCCCAACAGGAGCATGCGTATCCAGCTGATGAACTCATGCCTTTAACTTGTCGTGGACGAGTGCGGGGTCAGGAGCCAAGTCGAGGGGATGTGGATGATGCCTTGGGAAAGTTAGTGTCTGAAATGGTCACTGTAAACATCTAGGAATAGAATTACAATTGGCAGCCCATAAAACTTGTGTGTTCAGTTGATTTGGCCAGAAACTTACACTTGTAAGAAGTGTTTTTGTTGTTATGAAGTTAACTTACACTTCTGTTTTTATTATTATGAAGTTAACTTACACTTGTAAGAAATGTTTTTGTTGTTGTGAAGTTAACTTACACTTGTGTCTTTATTATTATAAAGTTAACTCATGTGAAATTGTACCTTAATTAGAAGAAGAGAATTGAGCAGTGAATGAAATCCAAAAATAATTTTTTAATGGTCCTCCCAAGTATTTTCCATAGGAAAGCCTTCCAAATGTGGCTGACATTTATGATATTAGTAGTGCAGGTTATAAGGGTTAATGTGGTGCTGAACATAACAATAAACTCTTATCCATGATGCTGGCCTAATAAGTGATATTTAAAGTGCTTTTTTAAAGTAGAAAGTTTTCTGAAAACAAGCAGTCAAATGATTATCATGTGTATGATAGCCTGAGGCCTTTGCTGAAGTATAAAACATTATTTCAGAAATATTTTCTGTTCTTTCTTTCAAGGGAGTTGAGAGTACAAAATACTGATCCTTTGGCTAGCAGAATGTAAATTTAAGGACTGGTTTTTTCCATGTTAAATGGAATAATCAAAGGCAAAATTGACCTATTCTAAATGCATTTGTAATTGATACCTTTGAATATGTGCAGTTTATAGATCAAATTCTTTAATAACAAACAGCTGATTTTTTTTAGTATCACTGTTTAATGTCTCTAAGCACAGTAATGTTAATCAAAGCTGAAATCCCTCTCTTAAATAGTGGTTCTAATTGTCTGTAGGATATTGAGCATGTTATTTTGGCTATGTTTTGTTATGTACAGATGTTTTTTAGTCTAGAGATTTCCATATAATCCTGCTGCCTTGAAGGTATCCAAAGATACAGCAGATGAAAAATGTAATGAAAATGTATTTTGAATCCATTCTTTTTAATGACCTTTTTTAAAAGTAACATTCTAGCATTTGAGTAAAAATACCTTCCAGCCCATTTGAGTAGAAATACCTTCCCCCCTGCTCTCTACCCTTAAATGCATTAAATTATTGTATGTGTTTATCATTTTTTTGTATACAGGCTTTATTCTCTACCTTATAATTAGTTACATTATTATGTAGCAGATTTCTTATCTAATTCCCAATTCTTGCCAGCTGCCTCATCAGTTGTGTTCTCTGCCAGTCTTTGCAATCACAGAATGACAGGGTGAGGGAGCTGGGTCAGTTCTGTTTCCCTGGAGAACTTAGGAGCCTTCCATATAGATGTGAAAGGCATAATTTCTCTCCTCTTGTACTGAAAAAGTTGTGAATTTGTTAGGCAGTTGTGCACAATCATTAGTTAATCTCTGTCTCCTGTAAAACAGCACTTAAAAAGTGCCCTTATGTCTTTACAAATTCAAGAGAATTATAATATAGGAACACTTAATTAGAATTGTGGTGTCACATGTTGCCTGCAAGGTTTCAAAGACTGGGCACTTACTGAAATCCTTGGTGTGTGCTCCTCAGCAGGCAATTTTAACTGTTCCACAGTGTTCAGTTTTAACACCATCATGTTCTGTAAATTCTATTCTGTGTTGTGGGTGTGTCTTAGCACAGGAGCAGTTGTTGGAATTAGACATATTTATGATACAATTATAGATATAATTCCTGGGATGGGGAAAGGTCCTCTCAGCTCTGGATGCACTGGAGCAGCTCTGGAGAAAACCTCTGATCCTTGTTAGGATCTTCTTGTTTCAGGCACTGTGGAGCTGACTTGATGCTCTCTTTTCATGGAATAATCACAGAATCCCAGCCTGGTTTGGGTTGGAAGAGCCCTTAAAGCCCATCCAGTTCCATGGGCAGGGACACCTTCCACCAGCCCAGGTTGCTCCAAGCCCTGTCCAGCCTGGCCTTGGGCACTGCTAAAATAGTTCTTTATTTTAGAATAAATAAAGTAGTTCCTTATTTTAAGCCTACCACTTGCTAGTGTTGGAACAGTTTCTGGTATGAGAAATTTAGCTTGGAATGGCTTGTCATCTCAACGTTTTTCCTTTTTTTTGAAAAACTAAGTGAAACAGAGGCTGGAAAACCACTTAAACTTTTATGCTGGATTTCTTAATAGATTTGATTGGAGACAAGAAATAAAAATGAAATTTATTTACCAGAATTTAGAAAGCATTGCAGTAAATAAATGTATCTGTAATCGTAGCCTCTTTGTCAGCTCCTATTCTGGTCACTAGCAAAGGGGAGAAACTTAGAAAGAGGTTTTGATATTAAACATGTTAAGTACAGCTGATTGTTTTGCAGCTGGTGGTCTGTGAGAATTTAGTTTCTTCCCTGGTATCAGTTACTATTAAAAAATCACTTAATTCCTACAGATACAGATCTATAGTAAATCTGTTTTAAATTTTCTTTCATAGGTTTTCACTGACCTTAATTGATACCTTGGACACTCTTGTGGTAAGCTTAATCTGTTGATAAGCTTTGATAAAACAGATTGTTTTCTGATGCTCAGACTTATTTTTAGATTTCTTTTTCATGTCTGTTGATCTCTGGCTCTGTTTGAAGTGTCTGTTGCTTGTGGGAACTTTGAAATGCTGTGAGGATGGAGTTTGGAGTTGGTTGTAATAACTACAGCAGTTCCTTCACATTTCAGTGATACTTTTTTATGTTGCTTTTATTTTGGCTCTAACTTAACACAAGAGAGTTATAGTCTAAAGCAAGAGGCTCAGTTAGTGGTGGGCACCTCTTAATAACTGCTGATGTATTTCTGGTTTGAATTGTATGTTCATATTTCTTGGGTAACTTTGTGTGCACTGAAATATCCTGTATGCAAATACACTGTGACTGCATTAGCTATACTGGAACTGAACACCTGCTCACTGTTGTATTCCAGGTGTTAAATAAAACCAAAGAGTTTGAAGAGGCTGTAAAAAAAGTAATAAAGGATGTTAATTTAGATAATGACATAGTTGTGTCTGTCTTTGAAACCAACATAAGAGTCCTTGGGTGAGTAACTTTTGTTTTCAAAACTCCTAAAAATGTGGATTTTAGGCAGTGTCTTTAAGACGCTCTTCTGTGCTATTCCACCTGTTTGAAATAGTTGTGCCTTTGTCAGAGAGTGGTTTTAAAATGCAAGGCAGGACTCGCTGCAGTGGTACTGGATCAAGCTGCCCCATCTCACTGCTGCAGGCACAGCTCTGCTGATTAAGAACCCCATGAGCATGCTGAGGGAGCTGGGGGGTTGCTTTAGAGAAACAGGTTTGCAAATGTCTCTGTTCAATACTTGATTTACCACATTTTGATACCTGGGATCATAGATTATTTCAGCTTGGAAGGGACCTCTGGGGCTCAATGCTGGATCAGAAAATGTAATTTTAAGTTATTATATGACATTTTGGAGATCTTGGTTGCTATTCCTGTCTAATATTGATGAATCTATGAATCCAATGATAAACAAGAAGAATTGCTTCCCAAATCCTGATAGCAAACCTTGATTATAATGGGAATTGGATCAGCAGTCTAAAACCTAGGGTCACAGTTATGTACATGTCGTCTAATTGTAGAGAGCTGTCCTTGCTGTTCAGATGAACATACCTTTTGAGATGTGGATCATTTCTCTTGTGTTTAGAGGTCTCCTAGGTGGGCACTCAGTGGCAATTATGCTGAAGGAAAAAGGTGAATATATGCAGTGGTACAATGGTGAACTCCTGCACATGGCCAAGGAACTGGGCTACAAGCTTTTACCTGCTTTTAACACCACTAGTGGTCTCCCTTATCCAAGAGTAAGTTCTGTTTCTGTAATGCAGGATTATACTGTAATCATGACTTCTGCTGTTTTGATTTTATATCTGTTTCCAAAATCATTTCTGTATTCATTAAGTGGCAAGAAAATTGAAAACTGATAAATTGCAGGTACTCTAAGAGCCAGGAGTAGTGAGATATTTACAAAACTAAATTTTCAGGAGCTCTTGTGATGGTTTGAGTTCCTGATTTGTTGCTAAAAAATTGCTCAGATTAGATTTTTATTCTCTTACTGTATTCTCTTATTCAAATGCCTAGTGAACCAGGCAACAGGATCTTGTTTGGGAGGGTTGAGATTTTGAGTATTTGTGGATAGTTCTCTGTGCATGTCTAGGTTGGCAGAGCAAAACCAAAGAGATCTGTTTTTTCTTGTCTTTAGAAAGAGCATAGATTATATACTTGCTATACAAGGAATGTAAACTCTTTCAGCTAGGAAAAATAAATATTATAATGTCTGTTTTTCTCTAGGTTAACTTAAAATTTGGTGTAAGACATCCAGAAGCACGAACAGGAACAGAAACTGATACCTGTACAGCTTGTGCTGGTACCTTGATCCTTGAGTTTGCAGCTTTAAGCAGATTCACAGGAACATCTATATTTGAGGTTTGCTTTCCACGATATCTTATTTTTTGCCTTAACGTAATGTTTACAGTTTGTAATTTTGGAAAAAGAATTCTGAGTTCACTAAATGCATGTCTTAGCTGTGCTGCACAAAAACTTTTGTATATGTTGAGATTTGTAGTGTTTGTGGGTTTTCTTCCAAGGTTTGATTTTTTTCAATAATTTTTTAAATCACAGGAAATAATTTTGGTTGAAAGTAGTTAGAGTAATACAGAAGTAAACAAATATTCTGAAGATCAGAAGGAGTTCTGAAATTGTTAGACATGAAACTATTCCTATGAATCTATTATGAATCCTATTCCTTTCCTGGCATCTTAATTGAAATAGCCAGAAGAATCAGAGTTGAGTGTCTGTGTTTCCCAATTCCCTGTTGCTGTTGTTGTTGCAGGAATATGCCCGGAAGGCGCTGGATTTTATCTGGGAGAAGAGGCAGCGCAGCAGCAACTTAGTGGGGGTCACCATCAACATCCACACCGGGGACTGGGTCCGCAAAGGTGGGGCTGAGCCACAGCCAGGGGGTCTCACCCACCCCCAGCAGGCTTACCTGGGCTGCTGAAAGATGTTAATGGGAGAGGCAGTGGAGGAACATGCTGCCCCAAAGCCTGGCTCTGGTAGAGAAAGTGGTTTTATTCATGGCAAAGTGTTCCCTGATCCTCTTTAATACCAAGAGGGAAGTGCCTTGGGATGAATTTTAAGAGATGGCTATAAATACATGGGAAAAATATAAATAGGATGGGAGAAGTGATGATCTGTGAAATAAGTGTCTTTTAATGCATATCTGTCCATATTATTATGTGCACTGGTAGTGCAAAGCCTTTGGCATACACACACAGTATTGTGTCTCTGCTTCCATCTGTGCCTTAATTCCAGTGAAAGGAGGCTTTTCCTTTCACTGGAAGAGCCTTTAAATCTAAAGTGGGAAAATGTGGAAAATACCCATATTGCTACATAAAGTAAACCCACCCTTTTATTTTCACCTGTTCCTAGACAGTGGAGTTGGAGCAGGAATAGATTCATACTATGAATATTTATTAAAAGCCTATGTCTTGCTGGGAGATGACAGTTTCCTGGAAAGATTTAACACGGTAAGTTAACACCTTGCTCAGGTTTGTGCCTTCTGCAATACAAATTTCAGAGTAATTGTGTTGTCAGCTGTTAGCCTGAGAAGGGATCTTTAGTAGAATTTCTATGACTTCTGCTGTATTCAGTGCCAGCTCTTTTTACTGAGGGTTTTTGCTAATCTTGGGTGATTAGCTGTCACATGAGCAGTTATTTTAACCCTATCCAGTAAAACTCAGAACCTTGTAGGCCTTTATCCATGTTCCTAGCATGAGAGAAGCTGTATTCACAGACCAATACTGCAAATGTTTCTGTAAAAGAACGTAAGGACCTCTTCTTCCAAACCATTGTACAATTTCATTCTGTCCTGGAGCAACAAAAAAAATCAAAGTGTGAATCTTGCTTTGCACTGCAGATCTTCAGGCCCAGGATGCATTTAAGTATACAAGCTGAAAACCATACTCAGTTTTTTTTAATTCACAGATTACTGAGCAGCTTTGGTCAGCATCATAATTCTTTCATAAAAGCATTATTTATTTTGAAAATAGCAATATCCATTAAAAACATCTTAAATAATATAATTATTTTACATCATATAGCATGATTTTTTTATTAGAAGATAATAATTCCATCGTTAAAGTTGTAATACTTTAGGTGTAATGATGATTTCATGGTCCTAAGTGTTACATTTTCCTTGAGCTACATCTGTTAAGTGTTTCTGTCAGTTTGGCTGATGTGCTCAGGATTGCACCTTCTGAAAACAAAATTTGGGGTTGGAAGTCAGCAACATGGCAAGTGACCTAGAGGGTTTAGAAGTTCTTCTGAGCCATGCAGTCTAGCTGCTTTGTGTGGGTTTTTTAACCTCCTTTTCCTTCTGAGATCCATATGCTTTGGAATTCTGTTGTTCAGAAAAAGCAATTTCAGCTTTCTTTAGAGTGTGCTTTAAAATTCAGCCAAAACAAATGTGCCTTAACTGTGATATTCCTGGTTTATCACATGGCTGCTGGATGTACTTTTGTGTATGTGTATTCCTTGGAAATGTGGTGAGCTGTGCAAGTGTAGTAATGTGGAGCTTTTCAGTATTTACTACACTTGGTTTTAGTTTGCAAAACTAGAGATGAGAGGCACTGCCAAATGTAATAATGATTGGAGATGTAGTACTGGCTTTTCCATTCAAATGCAATGCCAGTCTGGTGATCTGTCTCTCTTTTGGGGAATGAATTGTTGCAAACTCCTGCTTTTCCTGATGTTTGGCAGCACTATGATGCCATAATGAGATACATCAGCCAGCCACCTCTTCTCCTTGATGTTCACATTCACAAACCAATGCTAAATGCTCGGACCTGGATGGATTCTCTGCTTGCTTTCTTCCCTGGATTGCAGGTAAGGTGTAAAATCCATGTACAAATGGTTTTAGTAACAAAGAAATGATTAACTAGGTTAGATATATGATTTTCAAGCCAAGTGTAGTAATTTGATTTTCAGAAATACTGAGGGAACATCCCTGGCAGTGTCCAAGGCCAGGCTGGACAGGGCTTGGAGCACCCTGGGCTAGAGGAAGGTGTCCCTGCCCATGGCAGGGGTGGCACTGGATGGGCTGTAAGGTCCTTTCCAACCCAAACCATTCTGATTCCATGATTTCTGTACTTATTCTTCCAGTCACTTCAATGCCATGATGCAAGTTAATGTGCTTTGCTGGCTATGTTGAGTATCAGGACAAGTGTGTTCCTGTAATTTGCTTCCTTCACTCCTAGTCATGAAAATACTCCAATTAAGCTTCCTTTGTACTTGTAACTGGTTTTCTACTTTGTGTGCCATTGACATCTTTAAGATAACCTAAATGATGTTTTCAAGTTCTTTGTAAATGTCAGAAGTCCTTGTTCTACATGGGCAATAATTTTAATGAGTTCAGTGATTTTGCTTAAAAAACTCTTAAGGAGTAGCTGTGACTTACACTGATAGGGATTAATAATTACAATATGTAGTGACTGCTCTGTGGCTTTACATGAACACACCATGAGTGTTTTTAACCTTGAGTATTAGCCCTATGCTTGGTGAATTAATGATACTTTTATTATTTAATTTTAGGTGTTGAAGGGTGATATTAGACCTGCTATTGAAACACATGAGATGCTGTATCAGGTTATAAAAAAGCATAACTTCCTTCCAGAGGTAAGGTAGTAGTTTTTTGATTTTGTAAATCAAAAATTTGTGTTTTTGATTGTGTAAACTGATTCTTACAATTCTTACATCAATTTGAACAGTTGCAGATGCCCATTTGAAAAACCAGCAGGTATATATGTTATTAAAATCAGAGCTTCGTTTCCACGGCATTCTTATGTGATTTGCAGTTCTGCAGGTCTGACAGCTGAGAGGATGTTCTGAAATTTTGTATAATGACTTTGAAAGTCAGCACACAAACTTACTGCAGATGCTGCAAGTCTTTGAGCAAGTCCATTATTCACAGAAAAGCTTGTTTACCTGCTGAAGTGTGTGTCTTTAATCTGTGATGACTCAGATTATATTTGAAAGCTTCTGACTCTGGGTTTAATTCTGACTTTCCTCTAGTGTAAGCTTATTTCTCTTAGAGAACATTTTAATTAACATCACATTCACCTAGTGTGGTTATTGAGAGCAAAGAATTCTAAGCACTGGAATGACTTTTGAGGGCCTTTAAAATGGTGTAATTTGGCTCTTTATGGGTTTTTTGTTGTATTTTTTGTGTTTTGTACTTATGAAGGAAACTTTAAAAGGTCAGGTAGTTATAGTTAAGCCAACAGACTACCCCCTAAGCAAAGACTTGTTTTAAATCTTAGTGTGAAATAGTAGTGAATATATGACAGAAGTGGCTTTTCCCAGTGCTCATTAAGAGTGAATAGGTAGGCTAGGAAATTTTTAGATATCTGACATCTAGCCTGTGGTATTAATTTAGAAACAGCTGCTTAACCATCTGTCAGTGTGCAGTGACACTTGACTGCACTGGAGGTGTCAGGTGGTAGGTATGTTTGCAAAAATGGTGTTTATCAAAGCTAGGCTGTTCAAGTAAACCTGTGTTTGGTTTGCATTCCTGCATTTATTTTATTTTTGTCCGTTCTTTTTCATCCTCAGGCATTCACAACAGACTTCAGAGTTCACTGGGCTCAGCATCCTCTGAGGCCTGAATTTGCTGAAAGCACCTACTTCTTATATAAGGTACAGTCACATCCACTCCTCTGACCTTTGAGCACTTTTTCTTGCACCTGGAGTTTTGTTGCTGTTTTATTTCAATACAGAATTGAGTGGCATATCTCCATCTTAACTTATCCCCTGGAGCCAGTTTAGGATATAAACAAGATGTAATGGTTATAAATTTTTTTTGTTTTATTTCATAGGCTACAGGAGACCCTTACTACCTAGAAGTAGGAAAAACCCTCATTGAAAACTTGAACAAGTATGCCAGAGTTCCCTGTGGGTTTGCTGCAATGAAGGATGTTCGTACAGGAAGTCACGAAGACAGGTAAAGTTTGTACAATTATCTTTTAAAGTACAAAAACACAGAAAAAAAATCAAATTTCCCTGTGTAATTGAATTAAGATTTGAGGACCTGTCTGTCTTCACTCTGATAACCAAGCCTTAAATTACCTGTTTGTAATTGCATTGAACTGTAAATGCATTGAAACAAGCTGTGCACTGTTTCAGTAGAGTTATAGGATGCTCTAGAAGAATATTTTCAGTTTAATAACCTTTCATTTGTCTGAGAGCAATAGATTAATTACTTTCAAGCTAAATATACTTCAAATCTGTAAGTTTGTCAGGAGGTTTATTTGTTTTTTTCTGTAATGCTGTTTTGTACTGAATGTGCTGAATCATTTCCCTCCAAACACAGCTTCTTCCAAGCAGAAGGAATGCTAATGGAATTATGTCCAGCAGTGATAGTCATGAAGTCTTCAGAGATGGAGAACTAGGAATATTTATTCTACTGATGTCCTAGAAATGAGCTCTCCCTAAAGGATATCCCCTTTTTCTCCACAGGATGGACTCATTTTTCCTGGCTGAGATGTTTAAATATCTGTACCTGCTGTTTGCTGATAAGGAGGACATGATTTTTGACATTGAAGATTATATCTTCACCACAGAAGCTCATCTGTTGCCACTCTGGCTCTCCACAACAAACCAAACCATCTCTAAAAAAAATACAGTATGTAACAGCTCCAGCCTAAATCAGTTTCTGTGATACACTTCCTTTTTTTTGAGGAGAAATGGAAATAAAATCAGGAAAGATCATAGTTTGAGGAAGTGCACCAGTTTGAACACATTGTTTAATAGGCACTGTTTCATCATATTAACAGTCACAAGAGTAGGAATAATGAGTGGATTCTGCACTGCTGAACCTTGAGATAAAAGATAGGAATTATTAGCAAGATTTTAAAATAAAATCATTCCCCACTTCTGTATAAATTGGAAGATAATACAGTAGGATAATTTGTCCCCATCTTTATTTTTTTATTATTTTTTCTAAAACCTAAGGTTTTCTTGTTTGTTCTTGTGAACAAATTTTGAAAGTTTTTTTGAAACAGCTGTGGAATTAATTTGACAAGATACAGAGCTACAGACAGATTAGGGATGTTTAATCACTTTAGTCCATGCAGTAGGCACCTATTGCATAAATATGAGAACAGTTGTGGGTTTATAAATCACTTAACCTTCCAAAATAACCTGGAGTGATACAAATGTGCCATGAAGCATCATAAATCTTCACCTTTTTTTTGATTTTGTGGTCAACAAGGTGACATAATTTGTCTGTAAGGCAATAAGAAAAAGGAAGAAGAGAAAGAGAAAATTATGTCTGAGACATATTTGTGCTTCTATTTTTAGCATTTTCTAAGAGTTTTAGAATAATGCCTGGATCAGAGGAAAAGGCTTATATTGTGTGTCAAGCTATATATCCTGGAAAAATCACTGTTTGATGGACTTTAGCATTAAGCAGTGACAAATTTTCAGTTATTTCATCTTAATGTCAAACACTGGTTATGTTTTAATGGATCATGGATTTGGTGTTAAATGTTCCTTCAGGGTAGAAATCCCACACCCTCTCTGAAATGTTCCTTCTCTGTGATTTATCTTTCTTCCCTGAGTTTTGGGAACAGGCTGGTTTCTGCACTAAACAAGAAGTTTTCTGAAGGGTCTGAAGGAGCATTTTATCTAACTTTTGTTCCCAATATAAGAATTTAATACCTTTGAGACAGGCAGGGTTCCCACAGCTGGTGCTGTTCTCAGTGCTGGCCTAACTTTGTTCTGTTGAGAACTGCAAATGTTAATGAAAAGCCAGTAGAGAGGATAGAATAAATTGCTCAAATGCACTTTTTTAAGCTCTTTGAGTCAAAGCTGCAAATGGGCATAATCCAAGTAACCAAAACCCATTGAAAATGGTGTCAGGTGGCTGAAAGGCTGTGACGTTGGGTGTTCCTCTTTTATGGAATTTTATCTGAACAGATGGAATGTGTAAATGATTTTTAACATAAATACAGTGCTATTAAAACAAACTGTGAGAGAGATACTTGGTGCTATCAACCCAACATCCTGTTTGTATTTGCTCTCATAAACAAGAAAGGTCATGCATGTCTTAGTAACAGCCCTTTAGGTCTTGGGTTTTAGGGAGCCTTGAAATCCTTGATTTTTCATTGGCCACTATGTTGCAAACAGGAGGGGTGAGTCTTTTTAGATAGATGAATACTACATAAATTTTTATGGGTTATGAAATGAGCTTGCCAGTTATCTATAGCCAGTTATTTGCTAAGCTAAGGACATGCTAAATGTGGCTCCAAACCACCAGACATGTTCCACATGGCTTCACATGTTACAAACCAGCAATTTGTGCAGATGTTCACTGCCATTGTTCCTGAAAACAGAAATTGTTTGAATTATATAGAGATTCATCCTTGCTCATCCAGACTTGCAAGTCTGTGTGGCTCCTGAGGAGGAGAATCTTTTGTTCACGTGAAAAGATGTGACATTTTTAGTAAGAACGACCTAAAGCCTGCAGCTGGTTACTCACTGTAAAGCCGGTATCAGGTGAAACCAGAACTACTGCCTTTGCTTGTCCAGCACATAAAATACAGGGCACTGGCTTTGTCATGAGCAGGTTTGACAAGAACTGTCTACTAGCAGAGGATTAGTTGTTTCTGAAAAAAAAAATCTAGAAACTGTATATAAATTTAGTAAATTACAAATTAGAATGAGTGTTGTATTCATCTGTCCAAGGGGCTGCAGTGCACCGGCTCCCCCCTGTTGCTGCCAGATGTCCCCAGAACACAGATGACTTAAGTCAGTGATGTTCTTTATGTAAAAACATAACCTGCCTTTTGTTTACTCTGTGTCTTCGATTTTAGAGCACAGAGTACACAGAGCTGGATGACAGCAACTTTGACTGGACCTGTCCGAACACGCAGATCCTCTTTCCAAATGACCCCATGTTTGCCCAGAGCATCCGCGAGCCTCTGAAGAACGTGGTGGATAAGAGCTGTCCCCGGGGCATTTCCAGAGCGTAAGATGGATGTTTCCTGTCTTTGTTAGCTCAGGACTGAGTGGAACAGGCCCTGCTGTGCAGGGAAGGAGGGCCATGAGGTGTGCTGGAGCTGGCAGTCCTTTTGGGATGGGCCAAAGGGATGATTCCTGGTCACAGGAAAAAATCGCTTTGGATTTCTCCCAGCAACACTCAGTTTGTTTCCAGGTGGAATTAGCAAGTCTTTCAAAGCAAAAGGAGCTGAATGAGCTGCATACCTTGGCTACAGCTCCCTCTTGGAGTATTGCAGAAAGTGTCTCTATTTGTAAAATACTTTCTGCAGTCTCCTGAACAATTCTGAAAGTCCCCTTTGTAGTAAGGAAATGATGCTGCCACACATAACTGCACCCGTTTTGAGGAATTTACGGCAGTGTTAAGGCTGAGGAAGTTTGTCCTCCTGATCACCTGTTCTGTATTTGTATTTCATGATTAAAACTGAGTTGGAACTTTATGGGGCAAGCTGGGTTTGGTCAATGTTGCAATAATGCAGACTCTTTACAAATGAGAGAGTATATGGCAGTTTTGTTATCAATACTTGGGAGGGAGGTTTTGCACTATAAAATTATTGCTTATATAAAGACAACTTTATAAAAAAGATAACTTGATTGAGAAGTTGCATTCCACTGAAGCTTGCACTCAGTGTACCAAGAATTCCAATCTTGTGATGGCAGAGAACTCTAGAACACTAGAGTTCTGTTTCAAGGATAATCTGATTTTTAAAGCTTTGATCTCTGGTGTCTTTTGGCAGAGAGGAGAGTTTGGGAAGTGGACCAAAACCACCACTGAGAGCCAGAGACTTCATGGCCAGTAATCCTGAGCACCTGGAGATCCTGAAGAAGATGGGAGTCAGTTTGATCCACCTGAAAGATGGACGAGTACAGCTAGTGCAGCATGCAGTGCAAGTAAGATGACCTGGCAGGGTTTTATTTTTTAGAGCTCTCTGCTAAGTCCTCCCAGCAATGATACTTGACACCTGGAGCTTCAGGAGGTACAGCCACCCTGTGGAAGGAGGCACATGAGCTGGATATTGTAGCTATATTTAGGAGGCTGATGCTTGTTAATATTTTTCTCAACAACACTTTTAACTAATCTTCCACTAAATTAGGTAGAGGCTGCTCAGGTTGAAGTGACGTGGCCAACAGCATCTTGGCTGAAAACACTGCTTTCAGTGTGAGATACTTCCATCTCTTTATGAGGTCTATATATTTGTATATTTTCAGTTTCCTGGCTGCTGCAGGTGCTAAACCTTTTGTGAACTGATGCTTGAGTGGAAGTGAGCATCCACCCTGTGTGTACAAGTCTTTGTAGCAGTGGTCCAGGCAAACACTACTTCAGCTTCTTTTCCCCAAAATTCCTCAAACATTTAAGATAAAATTGTTTATTGATTGCTTTCTCTGCAGGCAGCAAGTTCCCTGGATGCTGAGGATGGCTTACGGTTCATGCAGGAAATGATTGAGCTCTCCAGCCAGCAGCAGAAGGAGCAGCAGCTCCCTCCTCGAGCTGTCCAGATTGTTTCCCATCCCTTCTTTGGCAGGGTGGTCTTGACTGCTGGGCCAGCACAGTTTGGGATGGACTTGTCCAAGCACAAAGCAGGGGTATGTGAGATGTGGGTGTGTCTGTTCCTCTCTCTGTTGCACAAGCCTCAGCTCTACAGTGCTGCTGTTGTTTGAGGGCTCCAGCTGATCCTCCAGGTGATCAGTTAATTACAGGGTTAAAATGACAGGCCCAGTGGTGACAATGACAGGGGTTACAGTAGTGGGGTGAGTGGCTTATCTGTCTGTGCTCTGCTCCTGAGTCAGCAGCCATGCTTTAGGATTTAAAACACATGCACAGCATGAGTTGCAAAGCAAGCTCATCCAGTCTGCAGTGCACAGCTAAGGAGATGGTGATTTAGGAGAAGTTTCCCTCTCATGTCAGCCAGGAGCTGGCAGAAGCTTTTTAGAGTTAGAGCAAGTTGTTCTAAGGAAAGCTTTTCTTAAAGGCTCTGTGTAGATGGAAGAGGGCAATCCACAGAGGCAGGGGTCCCTGTGGGAAGTAGTAGGAAAACTCATGTTGCAGCCCCAAAGAAGAGTTCCAGACTTTTGCAGTTCATAGGAGAAAAAATTTCCAGAGACAACACTTCCCAGGTGTAGACAAACCACACTGATTATGAGAATTAGGTTTTCATTCAGTCATTCTTTGCTTCTAGAGCTCCACTTTCAAGGCACAGATTGTCTGCACTGACACAAAACAACACTAAATGCAGTAGAATGACTGAAGGAACAAAAATACATGGGAATCTTTCACAAGCATGACCATAGTGCTCTAATTCTCTCTTTATTTTTGTTTTTTCCAAACAGACAAGAGGATTCGTTGCAACCATTAAGCCATATAATGGATGCTCAGAGATCACTAATCCTGAGGCAGTGAAAGAGAAAATTGCTTTGATGCAGAGAGGCCAGTGCATGTTTGCTGAAAAGGCACGAAACATTCAGAAAGCTGGAGCAATAGGAGGCATTGTCATTGGTAAATACAATTCCAGTTTCTTAATTTGTGTAAATATAACCTAATTTTACAGATTTGAAGATACAGGAAAGCTGACAGGCTTTAAGCTGAGAAGCACAGCAATTGTGCTTTCAGAAGACGAAGAGATGTTTGGGGTTTGTCAGGTTCTGTGCAGACACAGATTGGGATGATGGGTTGTCAGTGTTTTTGCAGACTAAAAGTTGTTACTTTAAGGATTGCAGGGTGCTGTCAGTACTAAATCCTGAGGAGTAATGGGGAAATGAAAAGTGGAGGAAAACACAGGGGAGGCTGTTCCAAGTTCAGCTGATCTAACAGAAGTTTGCCCTTTCCCTGGTACTCTCTGCCTAGATGACAACGAGGGCAGCAGCAGTGACACAGCCCCTCTCTTCCAAATGGCTGGGGATGGCAAGAACACAGATGACATCACCATTCCCATGCTCTTCCTCTTCAACAAGGAAGGGAACATCATCCTGGATGCCATCCGGGAGTATGAGGCTGTGGAGGTGCTCCTTTCTGATAAAGCAAAAGACAGAGGTAAGGTTTGAGGTGATTTATGTAAATCTAGCTCCCCTCTGTGCTCTGGCACAGTGGAAAATGGACAGGAATGATTTGCACTGCAGCCCAGAGGTGCTGTGGTTTTCTGTTTGACACTGAAATTAGATTTTTATAATTTTTTTTTTCTGAGAGATATCATTGATATCCACTCCCCTACAAGGTAACGTCCAGAAATGCTGTTCCTAAATGTCACTTGGGCTTAGGAGAAAATCCAGCCTTTTGGATTCCTTTTGAACCCTTTTTGTCATCAGCTGCTTTGAAGCAGCATCAGGAACAGCATGTTTCCAGTGCCCTACATTGTGAGCATCCCTCCCTCAGCAAGATCCCCAGTGACATTCCTGGGACCCAAAAGGAGAGAGACAAGTGCTGGAACCATTTTGCCTATCTAAGGAGAAGTGGTAAACATGAGAAATAAGGCTGCTGACCTCAGATGTTTCGTGGGTGTTCTTGTATAATGCAAGAAAATTGCAAGCTAATACATTCCCACTTGAAATGTTTGAATGCAGCAGAAAATTCCAGATTTTCCTCTTGTAAGCTTTCCTTGTAGCACTGCTGTGTCCAAGCAGAGTAGGTAAGAACAAGTATCCAGAAAATCAGCCTGTTTGCAAAGGGGATATGCCAATATGCCAAAATCTTGTCTTGTTTTTTACAAATCCCTCCTGTTTAACTGTGCTAAGTGCTCTGACAAAATGCTGAATAGAGGACAGCTCTGCCTTTGAGAGTTTGTAATCCATGTCTGCTTCTTCCCCCTCCTCGTGCTTCCGTTTGGAATCCCAGCAACAATCTTTAAAGGTAAAATGATTCCAAACTACATTATTGATAGCAGTAAGTATCCCATGTCAGCAGTGGCATGTGCAGTTAAATTCCCTAAAAATCCTGAAATATCAGTGTCCTGCTTACAGCCATAAGCATCAAACCCAGGGAAATGTGCATGACTAAATTGGGCAGTTGTTGGAGCTGAGCTGGGACGTGGGAGACGTGTGTTACTTGCTTTGAGTGGGGAGGCTCTGGCTTTGGCTCTCTCAAATGCACAGTTCAGCAAACCTAGGAAACTCTGTCCAGCTCCCAAGTGCTCAGATGTGGGATTTTGGTGGATCTGGGAGTGCTTTACAATCCAGCATTAAAGTTCAGTGCACACAGTGATTATTTGCTTAAAGCTGAAGCAGGGTAACTGGCACTGACCCACAAGTCACTCCTGAAGTTTGAGGAGCCAAAATGAACCTCAATGTACTGTTTGCCCTCCTTTAAAATGTTTTTACAAGGCTTCCCTCCTATCCCTCTGTAAAATACATTCTTCAGTACCATTAAATTTTCATATCACTGGAAAGTTTGCTCTTCCTTGAAGAAATAAGGCCAAGGGAAGTGACCTTGATTTTCAAATACATACTAAAATGTTGCATTCCTACAGTTATTTTAACTTTTTCTTTTTTCCTTCCCTTTCAAAGACTTGGAAATGGAGAATATGGACCAGAAATCATCAGAAAGTGATGCACACAAACCAAATTCCGAGGAAGCTTCTTCAGACTCTCAGGATGCTGGAGCAGTCGCTGAGGAGCCCGAAGGAGGAGGAGAGAGCTCTGCTGTTGGTGACCCTGATCCTTTGTCTGCTGCCAGCACAGCCAGTGCCAGTGTTTCCATGGCACAGGAGGATCCCCACACCTCTGGATCTGCAGATGCCAGTGCTCCAGAGCCAGCATGCACACCAGGGGACAGCCAGCCTCAGGAACAAAACACCCAGACAGAGGCCACTTCCAAAGCTCACTGGGATAGCAAAGTCCAGCCTATGGAATCCATATTAGCAGACTGGAATGAAGATATAGAAGCATTTGAAATGATGGAAAAGGATGAGCTATGACTTGTAATAATAACTTATTTGTTAATAAACAAATGGAGACCTCTTTGGGTAGAAGTGAGGCCCTGATATCCAAGAAAACATATTCAGTATTGGGATGAGCAGCCAGGTGTCACCTGGAAAACAACACAGAATTCCAGCACAGGCTCTTTGTATGTTTTAATTTTTCCTGTTTAAAAATGGGAACGTGCAATCAAAGCATTTGGGTGGCCCCGTGGCTGGTGCTGTGCCCCAGGTAGGGACGAGCCTGACTCCTGCCTTCCAGGCTCTGAGGGGGCTCTGGGAAGCAGCTGAGCAGGGTGGGGTGACACACCATGGAATGGTTCTTGATGGGGCACCCACCATCCCCAGCTGAAAGCCTTCCTTACAGCAGCAGGGGAATTGTTTCCAGGTGTCTGCTTTTGTCTGACATATCACAGTGCTGCTCTTCACTCCTTGCACCCCTTGCCACGAGGAACCACAAGGGGACCTGGGGGTTCCCCTCCTGCTCGGCTTCCAGCTGCAGGAATGTCCAAACCAAAGGCAGAGTGTGAGCAGGTCCTGTCAGGGAGGCTGGGCCAGCCATGGGGCTGCTGGGGAGAGCTGTGGGAAGCACCCAGGGCAGGTGTTGAGTCCCAGGTGTTTCCCTTGGCCTCCCAGGTGGAAAAACTCCAGCCTGCCCCAAAATCTGGAACAGTCTCTGAAAGGACACAGCTCCATCAGCTGTAGCAAAACCTTTTTCTACAAGTTTGACTTCCAACAGCTTGACTCCATGTTCTTTTTATATGCAACTTGTGTGTGTGGTGTTTCAGGCAGGGAGGCCAGGGCCAGTGAGGAAGAGCAACAATTCTGGCTGTTGGGTGGATAGTTCAGAGTCCAGGGGTGTTATCCCAGGCTCTGGAGTTTGTTACAGGTACAAATTTGTTACCCACATTATACTGAAGTAAAAATGGGGAAGTTTAAACAACATAGAGGCATTTTGACTGTGTCCAAAGAAACTGCCAAAAACTAATTAACTTGATTTATATAAACTGCTTTTAGTGACATGTGGTTCAAAAAATGGTTTTATATTAAAGACAGAATGAACACTGCCTATATGCTGCACCAGGCTAAAAAATGCAGGTTTATGTTCATCTTTGCAATGGAGTAAATAAAGAGGAAGCCCCACTCTGGACTGCACCTTTGATTTAGCTGGTGAAATGACACGTGCTGAATATGCAACTGTTAATTAGCACAGCCATACTCTGTATTTATACTCTGTACAGTGAGCAGGGCAATCCCAGGCATGTTGGATCCATGTACTCAGCCACACTTGCTTTCAAAAGCCTCAGAATGCACAGGCACCTTTTGAGAGCATGGCAGTCCATCTAAATATCATCCAGAACTTTAAATCACCAGGGTAGGAGGGAATTTGAGGAGAAATAGCGAATAAGTGTCCTTTGAAAGAAATTAGCTCTTAAATGGAGTTGTCATTCCTTTGCACAAGTAACTGTCTGGAGGCTTGGACTTGAAGCAGCTGGGGGTTTTCAGTTGGGAACGTTTTTATTTATGGGTTTTGTTACATGAGTTCATAGAAGGCATTTGACCATGGGAGCCTTGTAAGTGTCCTTGGTTCCCGGGAGTGCCAGGACACAGCCAAGTGCAGGATCAAACCATGAGGTGCAGATCAAACGTTTCCACTCAGAGAATTCCATTGATCTGTCAGTGCTCAGTGCCACAAAAGGAGCATCTTTGTTCCCATGCTTTCTGACATGGACATCATCTTCCTTCTTAGTAGCTCTTTTGGTGGAAATAGAGTTATTTTTATATCCTAGAGGCCTCTGGTCATTACTATCTCAAAATAGCAGCTAAAGGTTTTCTTTTTTTTTTACTTGCAGATTTAGGTGTAGATGTCAAATGTTATTAAAAGGTTAACTTTCCTTGCCATCACCAGCTCATTTTTAGTAACTGCTTTCTCCACCTGTTATTAGAGCAGCAGGCATTACCTTTCAGGGATCCCAGAACTCCATGTGGATTTAGGGGGCAGCATTTTGGTGGTGGCCTACCTCAGATTACTGTTGCCTCCTTCCTTTTGAAGTGGTTTTTGTTTCATTTAGTTCTGCTTCACCTTTGAAACCATCACAAGAGCCATAGCTTTGTTTACAGACCTGAATCAGGCAAGGTTGACCTTTTGGGAAAGAGGAATTAAATTGGGGGGACAGTTTTATTCAGGTTATTTTCACTTTGTATCTCCTTATGAGGACATAGGCTTTGGTTTAACCTGTTCATATCATTCTGGAAAGAATTCAGTTTTCTGTTACTATAATCTTAAAAAGCAAAAAGAATGTATTCATCAAAAAGAAAAACCCTTTTGGAAAGGGGAGAGAGTGTTTTTCCCAAATGTTTGGAAGTCTGCTCCCTGCATATGGAATATTGCTCATCATTAATCAGGAATCACCCTTAGTGTATAGCATTGTACATTTCTTTGTATGGTATTGAAAACTGAAGAATTCAGGAATCACAGCTGCAACTAGCACTTATTCCATGCCATGTAATTCAGATCAGCCAATTAATTTCTCATTTGATCTTAGAGGAATCTTCTTAATTGTTTACATTTATTGTTTCTTAATGAAGTTTGAGAATGAGCCCAGCTCTGGTTCTCCTCCTCCTGCCAGTGTCCCTGAGTAGGCACCAATGAGTGTGTGTTGAGAGGTGAAAAACAGGACATCTTATGCAACAGGCATCAGTCAGAACATAGAAAACAAACCATTCTGTGAATGAAAATTGTATGTTGAGATTTTATAAGATTTTTGGTTTGTTTTTTTTTTTAGCCAGACCAATTTACAGCCGTATATTTTCTTATGGAAGATGTCTAATAACAGGTGCTGTAACACTATTGTTGGGTTTTACTCTCTGGTGATAAATGTACCCAATATTTCTAAGGGCAACTATGTACTGTGATGTAAAAGTCTGGGCTAAAATGTACATAATCCGTGTACATAATTGTGTACTTGATTATAACTGCTGATTGTAAAGATTTAATAAAATGTAAATATTCTGGTCAGGCTGTGCTGAACTGATGCTCATTTATGCATTGCTGTTGGCTGTCACTTTCAGCAGGGCAGTCACACCAGTCCTTCACTGGCAGCCTCAGTGCTGGAAAAGCCTGGAATTTTTGCCTGGGAAGTTGGCTGAACTTAGAGGTATTGTAATAAACAAAACACCACTTCTGAAAGTGTAGAACTGAAACTGGACAGGCTCTCAGCAACCAGATCTAATGGGACTATTTCAACCTCTTTTCTTTATGACTTGGGCATTACTGTTTTATGTTTAAGATCCAGAATCCCGACCCTCAAAAGTTCATTTTGACTGCTGCATCTGTTATATTTAGAATGAAAAAACCAGGTTTCATTTGGCCTGACAAGGTGAGTTTTTGAGGGGTGTATCCTTCATCCTTCCTCTGTTATGAACTCTCCACCACCACCTCTATTCCTGTAAATTTTTGCTCTCTGGAAGTTAGGATTAAGAAAATTATGATTCAGATGCAGGAGTCCTAAATTCAAGACTTTATTCAAGTGCTGAGCAGTGCTTATGATAGGAAGTAGAAAGCATTGCCAGCCTTGCAAATTCCTTCAGCCTACTGTTTCCCATTTTCTGGGAACATCAGGGCTTAGGGACTGGAGTATTTTGGAGCACCGGCCCTTTGTGCCCCCTTCAAGAAACAAGGGACACCAGGTCCTCACTCCTCTTATTAAAACTATATTTATTAATGTATGCCAGTGGATGTATTGAGGGCCTGCAGCTCAACTGTCACATTTCCATTTCCCTGCAGGTGTGCCACCCTTCACCCAGAGCACTGGAGCTGCTCTGACCAAAATTCAGCCACAGCTGCTGCTCATCCCGTCAGTCACCCTGGCTCAAAGCTGCTGTGGCAGGAGCTCCATTTTCTCCCCAGGTGCTCCATGACAAGGTAATGTTAATAAACATTTCCAGCTGGAATGGAACCTATAAAACCCTGTTAGCTGCAAAAGTTCACCCAGGCTATTAATGCCCAGCACTGGCAAATTCATCTCACCTGGAGAGGTGGAGAGCACAGAGTGATGGGCTGGGGCCCCTGCAGAGGAATTTTAGCCAGAATTGTGCCAGAAAGCCTGTGTGGTACCCGCAGGTGTTTTTGGGGGGCGGTGGGGCCACCCCAGGATGTCTTGGATGCCCCACTGGCTGCCACTCCAGGACAGACCTGATGGCAGCAGTGCAGGGCAGAGAATGAGAAGCAATCCAGAAAACCAGATTGATCCTTAAAAAGCCCAGCCCTAACCCTGCCCCAGCATTTCTCTGCCCTCTGCCTGGGGCTGGGAAGGAGCTGGCAGATTTTGGGCCCAGGGGACACGTAGGGGTTCAGGGAGGGACACAGCAGCAATGTGGGTGAGAAAAAGGATGAGCTGGTGATGCTGAATTTGATGCATTTCATGATTTCCCCATGGACCTCCTGGCAGGCAGGTTGATGGTTTGAGACGTGCTTGAGGCTCCCCTCCGCAGCAAAAGCCATTCCCTCATCATCCTCTGGCCCAGTGCTCCTCATGATTGAAGAAAATGCGCAAAAAAGGCTTAGAAAGGCCTAAAATAGATGAAGAATCTGGGGAAAAGATGCTCAGGTGAGGACAGAAAAGGCATCTCCGCCCCGTGCTGGCTCTCCGGCGCTTTTATGTAATGGAGCACGTGGCTCCCCACGTTCCTTGTGGGGCTGGACACGGGTTCTCTGGCTGCCAGGCTGGAGCATCTCCCTCAAATGATGTCAATCTTCACTGCACTGGCATTACAGCATCATAAAAAATTACAGAGCTGCTATTTTGGGTAGCAGCTCTCTCCGAGTCAGTGAATAAATGCAGCTCCATATGACTCACTCCGGGGGATTATTAATAGACACAAAAGCAGAATGCCAAAACCCCAGGAATATGCTCTGTTCCCACATGGAGCTTTCTAGCTTCTTGCAGCAACTGCTCTTGAGAACTTTTTGTCTCAGAATTTAATTCAATATACAGCTACATTAAAAGAATTAAATGTACAAATGTTCCATTGAGCTTGCACCTCGGAGGCTTTGGCAGGGGCTGTTCTGCAGGGATGAAGGATGGGTGCTTCAGGGTGCCAGGCTCCATCTGGGATGGCAGGGTGGAGAAAGGGAGTCATTTCAAGAGGGAAGAATCACAGGGAGTGATTTCAAGAGGGAAGAATCACAGGGAGTCATTCCAAGAGGGAAGAATCACAGGCTTCTCCTTTTGCTGCCATGCGTGTCCATGGGGCTGGTGCTGGAGTTGGCTTCTGTGAAGGAGGTTCACAGTCCCACATGTGTTGATGATGATGATGATCCTGAGGATGATGATGGTGACTCTCCCATCTTCAAACTCAGAGTGAGCATTTCCCTGGATGTCATGGGTAGATGTGTGCAGCTAAATGGAAAGAAAATAATACAATTTTTAATAAAACAAAGACATAAACATCTTTGAGTTCTATCAACTTTCCCATCTTGAAGGACCCTGAGCTGGGGCTTCTTTCCCTGTGCCACAACAGCACAGTAACAACAATAGGAATTTCAATCAGGGCTTACCCAACTTTTTGGATGTCTCATCTCCCCAGCAACAAAGCAAATAAGGTGCCTTCCAAAGTCATCCCTGCATTTCTTGTCTCCTCTTCCCCGAACTCCTACAAAATTAAACTAAACAGAGAGAGATTTCAACCTGAAAAAGAAGAGTTGCCCAGCAATACCAGGACCCAAAAGCAGATTCCATAAAGCCCCATTAGCAGAAGTGCCACAAATCTGTGGTTTCTCAGTGAACACCCTATAAATTGCCTGTACCACACAGTGTGGCTGAGATCAAAGCTTTTGATTTTCCAGAGTGCGAGTGCCATTACCTCCCCCCTGGGCTGAGGCTGCCCCAGACACGTAAGAGCTTCTTTAGCACAGGGGATGTTGCTCAGACTCCCCAATATCCCACAAAGGAATTGAGTCAGGGCACTGGTTTTATAGTCATGGAATCCCAGAATGCTTTGGACTGGAAGGGACCTTAAAAATCATCTTGTTCCATGGGCATCCTGGAACATGGGCAGGGACACCTTCCACTGTCCCAGGGTGCTCCAAGCCCTGTCCAGCCTGGCCTTGGGCACTGCCAGGGATCCAGGGGCAGCCACAGCTGCTCTCGGCACCCTGTGCCAGTGTCCCATCATCACCAAGGTGGAACTGGAAACCACCCTTTTGTGCAAAGCCCATGTGACATCTGCTCTCTGACAGACACACACCTCAGCCAGCCTCTCCTATCCTGAAGGCCTGGTGTGTCAGCCAGGCTGATCTGGAGTTGAGTCATTGCTGACTCCAAATTGAAGTGACAGGAAATTACTGTTTTACAGACCTGGTAAAACCAAAATAGCTGGGAACAGAATATTTCTCTCCAGGCCCATTCTCATGCGATGACAGCGATGTCTCTGGAATTCAAACATGACTCCCTGGTGCTTCATGGATCCCTGTGCTCCCAGCTCATCATCCAGAGTTTAAATCTTGCTGTGCTCTGGGGCAGTCACCAGGAAAGAGGCACGCTGCAAAAAATCCTGGGATTGCTGAGGGCCTGCTGCTCCTGCTGTTTACAGGGCATGGAGAGGGGCACTGAGCCAGCCTGGAGTTTGTTGCAGGGCACAGTTCCCTGTGGATCCCAGCTCTGCTGGATCCTGGCAGGGAGACCTAATTCAGAAGAACCAAACCTCTGAATGCAAGGGAAGAAATCAGTGTTAACTGAGGGTGGAAGGGGCTGGGAGGGGGCACAGGTGAAGTGGAACTGCCAGTAATTAAACAAGAGATACAACAAGGCCCAAGGCTGGGCTTGGGCTGGGCAGCAGCTCCTCAGTTTCCCTCCCAATGCTTGGGGCAGGCTCCAAGGAGGAAAAACAGCACCACTCCAAGGGGTCTGGACAAAGGAAAATGCACTTCGAGGAACAAGGTTGATTGCAAACCCCCTCCACCACCATTCTCTCCAAGATCCCAGAATATAACATGGAGCTCAGGAAATACTGCATCAGCCTCCTGAAGATTGGGGCTCAAATCCCTTCCCTGGCATTTTGAGAGGAACCTTGAAATCCCATTTACAGCCCAGCATACCAGAAAGGAGCAAGTTCTCCTTCCCTTCCCAGCCTCCTTTCTCCACACTGCTGAATGTATTTGAGCAGAGCAAAGCAATGGGGAGGTAGAGCTCCAAGGAGAGATGCACTTCCAGCCAGAGTAACCTGCTTGTATTATCACAGACCTTCAGCTGCCACATATATTTAGACTTCTAATAAAATCTGCCAGTGTTTTGCAAAGGTGGAAGAATCCCAGAATCCCAGGAGATTTTGCAAAGGTGGAAGAATTCCAAACCTCCTGCCCACCCCAGTGCCCCCCAGCCCACCCAGGCCTTCCCAAATATTGCCATCTACAGCTCCAGCAGGGAGGCTTTGACTCATCCACAAGTCTTAAGCACCCACTGCTGGCTGGAATACGAGCACAGGCAAGATGGGAATTGCTTCTCCTCTCTCCCAAAATGTCCAGCGAAGCGCAGGTCTCCAGTGCCAGCAGCAGCAAGGAAAATGTTAAATAAAAGAATTATTAAAACTAAGAGGTGGCTGAAGGAAAGACCACAATGTGTCTAACACAGTGTTTGTGTGGGACATTTACACACAAGATGTTCCAGAACAACAGACCCAACCCCATCACTCCTGCACAACTGTGAAAGCTTTTCCGAAGTGCTTTGCAGAGAAGGGTTTGTGGGACCAAGCCCCAGGACTCTTTATTAATTAAAGTGTTTTAAATAATTGAAATGCACAATCTCTCAGCTCTCCCAAGCGTAGTCACCTGCTCAAGAGCTGGCATAAATTATGGAAAAAAATCATATCCAGGAGGAGAGAGACATCACCTTGAAGAATTCATCCCAAAACCCAACAGCTCTGTAGCACTCAGAGATGCCACAGCCCCAGGACAGCCCCGGGATGGGAGGGAGGCAGAGAAGCTTTGTCTCCAGGGGGGTCAGGATACTTGGGAGGGGC